GGCGAGAGGGAAAACACCGCGTCCCACTCCCAATTTCGCTGGGAACTGCCGCCTCGGGTAATTCCAGAAGGCTGTGAGAACCCTCCAAATCACAGAGAGGCGCAGGACGCCAGCTTCTCCGTAATATTTTCCATGGGTATGGCAACACGACTCCACCGCTCGGCATTTTAAACGAGCTCCTTCGGACCAAACATATAGCCCGTATTATCTCCGGCGTGTCCTGTTTAAGCACAGTTTAGCGGTCGCTACAGAACTGAGAGCAAAAACAAAGACGCGGCTAGGATCGATACACGTGTTAATAGCTTCGCTCCTATCTTATCTTCCTGCCATTTTGCAAAGTGAGAAGGCTTAACATTAAACCTCTTAGAGCAGGTTATTATATAATAAACAAGGGTGAGGTATTTTGCTACCTGACTTTTGGAGGAGGCAACATCAGTGGCTTCTGTGGGGGTAACACGCGTGTTTACCTGCCGCGGCTGAACGCGAGATATTCAGACACAAATGTGGCTGATAATTCAAGATGAAATACAACGTGTATTACTCTTGAAAAGAGGAATTTTCTATCCTTTCCTTGGTAATTGAGGTCATTCAGCCAGTAGGGTTCACCTGGAGTCCATACTGTGATACACACGTAACTCAAAGCTATTTTATCTTTTGTGCTGATAGTCAAGATCTCGGCTATAACATTGACATCAAACTCTGTCTGGGCGAATGACTAAGAGTGGTGCAAAACGTAAACTTTTGACCCTCAACTTTTTGACCTGCAGTTGTAACGCCCTTAACCACAAAGATATACAAAAGCTATGCAGCTTCTTTTAGGAGTAAGAGACTCGCACTGTTTGTTTCAATACTTCTGCTGTTTCCCCCAGCTTTCTAAGGGCGCTTTTTTTTTTTTCCTCTTCTTCTTGCTGCTGAGAAATTGGATACTTTTGCATTTTTAATTTTTTTTTTCTTTTCCTTAATCTCGCAGCTTTGTAAAATGCTGTTAGATCAGTTTGCACAGCCTTTCGGCAGCGTTGGAGGGAAGCCTGTTACTCAAAGGCGCTATATGGTTACAATTGCAGGTGAAATGCTGGGTAAGTTCTGGGCGTGAGGTTGGAAGGAATGGAGCGACGAGCGTTGGGGGAAAAGCTGCAGCTCTCTGCTGAAGGGTTTTAGTCATTTCTCCTTGATTTAAACATAAAGAAACAAGTCTAATTGTTTGCGAAGCCTTGTCTAGGCAAACGAGTTGACTGTGAACTTGGTCTAAAGCGAGCTCTGCTGGTGATTCCTAGGGTGTGCAGATTTATCTTTTCTGCATTTACTTAACCTGGCAGTGAACTGCACGGGCTGCCATTTATTATCTGCAGACAGACTTCACCTCAAGCAAGGACTGTTCCACAAAATTGCAATAATTACCCAATAACCTTCATAGCAAATATTATTATTGAAAAGACATTTTTTGGGGGGAGGGGATATAGAAAAGATCCCTTTTGCATGTTATAAGGCAAAATCCATGCAAATTTTACACGCTCTCTGTGTCGGATTTGAAATTGTTTGTGCACGTAGCTACAAGAACATGTGACTGGGGTGGTCCATGAATATTTGCCTTACAGAGAGACATTAGCGAAGATGCTTTAATTTGAAAGGGATAATATTTTCAAAGATGACCAGACGACTGTGGGAACTGTGGTTTTCCGCTCTAGCTAGTATCCCTAGCCTCAAATCGGGGAGATTTTTGAGGGCAGAAAGAGAAAGGACTAAGAAAACAAACGACATCTTAACTTGGTCAGGGGATTTACTCGTGTCTGCATTAAATGCGTTAAATCTGTATTTGCGGGGTGGGAAAAGGCATTGCTCCCGTATTCAGGGTTTGAAATCGAAACCTCCTGATCCCCACCCCGCCATGATCAGTTCCATTCAATTTCCCATGGAGCAAATTGCAAACTCCTCTATTGTCACCCTTCCACAGATACACACTTATTAAATGTAAGGAAATGGCAGAATAATAATTTCCCTGTAATGTTCTGAAATTAGGGCATTTGCATGGTTTAGACAAGACTGCAGAGCTGTAATTTACGGATGACTTTCCATTGGATTGTTATACTTCTGGTTTAGAGAAAGTTATGTCTTGCAAAGTCACCAGTTCCACACATTAAGAGAGCTGCCTAATCCTTAATTGGTTTTACACTTCGACGTGAGGCACTACATGCACATATTTCTCTCAAAGGAATAGGTAAACTGTATTTCAAATTGCAGAACACAACTTGCCTTTCCTAAAAGAAAACCTCGCACTTAATAATCCTCCAAACTCCGCAGAAAAATTACATGTGCAGATAAAACCTCTCTCCTCATTCCCAGAGATAATTTCTCATGACATTTTCCCTCGGAAAACAATTCAGACCTGGGACTATTTTCACAGAGTTCGGCAGTCTGGTCTCTTTTGAATTTCAAATTTCAAAACGTTTTAGGAAATCTTAATACATTTTGGGGTTTGAATGGTTTCAACTGTGATGCTTAGGACAGGGCAGGGCCAGAAACATGGTGAAGTTGTCATTTCTAGCTAACTTTCTTTTGTTGCTAGTGTTTCTTGCAGTACAGGCGGGTTTATATGCTTCTGGACTTAGAGGTATTTTTCTTTTCCATAGTTCTTGAACCGCTGTACATTGTTTTGTGTGGGATATGGTCCAGAAGCCACATTCAAAAATGTGGAAAATACATAGTAGCAAATCTTTTCACTCTAGGCAATGAAAAATTACAATCCAAGAAGATATTCAGGATCCTAAAATATAAGCCAAACGGGTATCCGTGCGTGCTTGTTTATTAGCCAGTAAATTCAAATGGCACAGTGTTGTTGAATACTGAGTAATCAGGAACTGTTTTTCTCTAGTATAATTCCTGTCTACAAGCAAAGGATTTTCCTTGGAAAAGGACCCATATATAAATGAAGACCAAACTTTTAAGGGTTTTTCATGCCTTGCCTCAAACTATAAAATTTTATGGCATATAGTATAATATAATACACGCCTATCATATACAACTTTCTGATATTCCTATTGATGAAAATGTGTCAACTGGAGTACTATAAAATCTCCAGCTGTTTATAGGGAAACGATTTTCAAATGTGCATTTGGATATGCTCTTTTAAAGCCTTTCTCATTTTTTTAATACGAAATATATGCAGATGTGTTTGTTTAGTGCTGATAGGAAGGATCGACAGACACAAAGGCATCAGACTCTATTTCATTTCCGCAAGGGTTGACTTTAAATATTAAATGTTTTTAAGCTCTTTGGGATGAACCTACCTTAGATACTACCATTTCTTTAAAGTTAAAGACAAATAAATTAAAAACAGGAATCAGCCAGCAATATGCAGACCTTGCAGAGGTACACAACAACCTTACCCTCCTAGAATCCTGCGCCTTTCTCCCATTTTTGCTCACAGTAGCCAAACCACCCTAAACCACAACATTTGAATGGCATAGCACTAGCAAAATAAAACAAAGCCCATCTCTCACATCAAACCACTCCATTCTTTTGCAAACCCGACTTTATGACACATAAAGGAAAACAATGCAATCTGCTGAATCAATGTTACTCCAAACCTGTGCAGAGAAAGAGATATCCACAGCTGGTTTGGATAGATAGATAGATAGATAGATAGATAGATAGATAGATGATAATTAATAGGCAATTCTCAAAATCCCACCCTAGCCCCTGACTAGTCTGTTTATACCCCCTGAGATCACTCGCTAAAGTAACAGCTCTGAGGATAAGGATCAGGCCTTAATGTTAGCCAGAGCAAGATAGAGTTCCTTTCACCCTTTCATTCAAGTCCTGGAAATTCAAAGACTGAAGTTAAATCCGGCCATAAAGTTTATTGCTGAGTAATCACACTCTAGTGAGAACAGTCCACTTAAATAAAAAGAATGTTGAAGTAAACACGCAGCTGGGGCCTACCCCACAATGGCAGCCAGCAATATAAGGCAGAAAGGAAGAGAGCAGAGCTAGGGGGATATTTACAATCTTCAATAAACCAAGCCCGTATTTCATAATTTGCAGCACTCTAATGACCTGTAGTCTCTTGTATTAATGCTACAAGTTACAGTCAATTGGTTCGCTTTAAAAAAAAAAAAGGAAGTCATAGGAACATATATATGTGTACACACGTACACACCCTTTGTGTACACGAATACACCAATATTAGACACATATATGCATCTGCACGGCTTTACACAGACCTACAAACTGATTTGTACATGCAGGCACACATGCATATAGTATAAATATATTCATATTTACTCAATTATATATAGAATCAGGAAAAAGTTATAGCAACATTATAAACGCGCATCCCCAAAACACGCCACGCGCACGCAGATGTACGTATACACATAGCTAAAGCTTTCTGCACAACCCAGTGCAGAAAATATGTATCTAAGCACTCCAGTACAGTCTGTGCCATTTTAATACTGGCTCTCTGATATGCAACATATTTCACCAATCCAAAGATTATTACCATATCATCACGCCTCCAACTCTATCATGCCTACATAAGATACTGCCCAGATAATATCAAGCCCAATCTATTTTGTTTCCCCCTTTTTTTAATCGCCTGCAGTAACTACTCTCTGCTAAACAAAACCTCTCCAAACTTGGAGAGTCTATTGGAGCAAAGGAAGTAATTATCTTCTGCGGTAGTCAAAGTGATTAAAGCTAGGCCCCAAAATCCATCTCTGCCAAAGTCGCTTATTGTGGTTTACTTTGATTTGATCGCTAAAATAGAGAGCTAGCTGCTGCGAGTGAAGGGATGGGGGGGAGGTATTTGCAGCGCAACCTGGATCATTAGTGCTTGATCCTGCCTCTCGGGCTCGGTGGGACCGTCCTGAAAACCTCCAGGCGGAGAGGAAGGGAAAGAGAAAGAGAAAGAAAGAGAGAGGCGAGAGGCAGCGAGAGCGAGAAGGAGCCTCGGCTTCCCCACTGTACAAATAAACTTTAAGGAACTTGTGCACAAAACTTACCTTTGACTTGCAAGGAGCCATTTTTCACATAGTACTGAGAACTTGTGGTTTGGATACTTCTGTCCCTAAACCTGACAATTTGAATGGCCAGGAGGCACACGTAGCCTGCAAAAGAGTCAAATGAAGTCCAGCGTCAGTGAGATTATATGTTATGTGGTATATAATGTTGGATGTCAACTCCCCAAAACCATAAAACTTACTTTAATGGCACCACGTGACTTTTTATAGCCAGTGAGCCTATCTGTCTGTGCTATGGATGATTTTACGATCTAATTCATAGACAAAACCCTATTCATTTGGCACCCAAATGTCATATAGCCGGAACTGGGGCTTATAAAGTTTACTGTTTTATAACTTTTAAGGAAAGGCATCAATGTAACCAGTCAGTAAATGTGCAAATCTTTAGTTGCTCTTAGAAGCTCAGAAGAGTTAACCATTCAAGCTCTGATGGGGTAAGTAACATTACGTTTATAGCAAACTAATTGTAGCGAAGAAAACCAAAAGTTTAAAGGGTGAAGAGTGGGAATGTGGCTAGAGAGGGTTACTAATAGATGCAAAGGGCTTGGACATGGCTGTCCTAAAATATACTTAATGAAACCACAGGAGAAATTCTAGAGCGATGCAAACACACCCTGGAGTTCGCAGCGTATTTTAAAAAAGCACATGTTTTGGGGTTTGGGTTGTGGGTTGGTTTTTTTTTTTTGGTGTTTTTTTTTGTCGTGGTTTTTTTTTCCCCCCCTTAATTTTAACCATCAGCAGACAATTAACAGTTGATTCAGCCACAAAGGGTGTAGACTGTGGTCCTGCGATGCAGCTTTCCACCTAGCGAGAAACAAGTAAGGAAGAACTTATGGTCAAACTTTCAATTAAAAATACTGGTAGCGGACAATTGCAGCATCCACCATATGTAACGTGCAGCAGGAGCCAGGTAAAATATAACAAACTCTGCACGGGCTATTTTTTTTTTTTTTTCTTTTTCAGAGGCAAATCAGGAAGCACAACTTCTTGCTTTGCACAAATCAGATCACAAAAACTTTACAATAGAAAGTTTATTTTTTTGTTGATTTCCAGTCAGGGTTTTTTTTTTAAAAACAAATAATAATAATAATAATAAAAAAAAAAGCTGATCACAGTTTGCTCAAACAGCCAGACTTTGACTATATTTGTAACTTTGTTCACAAAAAACATACATCACAGAAGCTGCGCTTAATAAGAGCCACTTCTAAGAGTTCGTGCAAAGAGTCATATACAAAGGCACAGCAAGGACATACTGCTTGGAATCACAGTTTTCGTCACAGATTCACTATTCACTACACGTAGGACAAGTTCAGTTGATTTCATCATTTCACCTCTACAACAGCATTAATTACACAGGAATTATATAGGTAGTTTGAATAAAAATATTTTTAACAGCTTGGAGCTATACAGACATTAACACTTGACCACACATGCACAGTTAAGCAGGTTGAGTGCAACACATAACATTTGTACTAAACCGGGGGAGGGTTTCCTTTCTCTCTCTCCTTTTTTTTTTTTTAACTTCTTTTTTTTTTCCTTTTTGTTCTTTTTTGTTTAGTTTTGTTTTGTTTTAACAGTTACTTCAAGTAACACAGCTCGCTTCATATAAATAAGTTAAAACATCTATTATTTTTTTCAAGACAAAGCCATTCAAGACAAAGAAATGTACGATAAAAGCAGATCTACTTATACACGCGAGAGAATGGTAATAAACAGGCTCATGATTAAAAGATGAATAAGGGCGACAAGAACAGGGTTTCTTCACAGAAGTAACACAAGGAAGTTTTAGAAAGTCAACTTAGTACTGACATGAGACGACGCAGGGTCAGCTAATACTGCTCAGTACTTTTAATTGATCAAGCGCTTAGGGACGGAATGCCCCTCCTGCAGCTGCCATGCTCATACTTTTCAGCTTATTATCCTTTTTCCATTTCATTCTCCTGTTTTGGAACCAGATCTTTATTTGTCTCTCTGAGAGGCAAAGAGCATGTGCTATTTCAATCCTTCTTCTGCGGGTCAGGTATCTATTGAAGTGAAATTCCTTTTCGAGCTCCAAGGTCTGATAGCGGGTGTAAGCAGTCCGAGCCCTTTTCCCTTCTGGTCCCCCTATGTTGTCTGGAAGAGAAAAGTACATGATTTAGATTCTCAGCAGCCTCTCGGAGCCTTCGTGTCTCAATTGCAGCTACCAGCGACCAGGACCGTTATTCTCAGTCCTGCTTGGTTTTGTTTCTGGTTTGGATAAACGCTCAACAAGTTTCCCCCTCCAGCCCCTCTTAGGAAAGGCTTGGGGGAGGGGGAATTTGGTAGTCTCGGTAAGTTTTCGCCTGGATTTGCGATTCGATTTTTTAAATTTAATTTTTCAGTTGCTTTTTTTTCTTTTTCCTTTTTTATTTTTTATTTTCTTTTTCTTTTTTTTCTTTTTTTTTTCCTTTTTTTTTTTTTTTTTAATAAGGATAATTCTCCCCCATGCCTCCCCCAGATAACCTGATTTGGAGGATGTCTCTGCTGATAGCTGGGTTTTCAGAGCTAAGAGAGCAAGGCTGAAGCGTGCAGCCCTTTCCCACGGCTGAGCTAGGGAAGGCTCTGGGAGGCAGCGAGCCTCCGGCCGCTCTCCCAGCAGCGAGGGCAGGGCAGGTACCCGGGGCTGAAAGTTGCTTCACTCCCCCGCGCCCTTCCAACCCTGTACCCCGAGTTTGGGGAGACTCGCCCTCCCCCCTCCCCCACGGCTTCCCAGCAGTGAAAACTGCCCTTCTCGCCCTTTCCTATTCTCTTTTTAATATGTCTAAGCAAAATAAATGGGGTCAGCCGCGCCGTTCCCACTGGAAGATCCCCCATCCAGAGGAGACCCGGGAGCAGCCTCTGCTCCCGATCTCCCTTCGGCAAGGCTCCTTCTACTCCCCCCGCCGGCGCTGGGAGCCAGGCGGGCGGTGTTTTCGGGGCCGAGCGGCTTTTTTTTTTCCTTTCGGGGGGGACTCGCCCAGAGAAGGGAGCGTGCTTCCCTGCGAGCAGAGTTGTGATGTGCGCCGAGACTGCCCGCTCTCACGCCCTCCTCTTCCCCTCTCCCCGACCTTGCTCGGCGCAGCCACCCGGTTTACATTAAATCCTCCTTTTCCTCCAGAGAAATAAAGAAAGAACAGGGTATTTGCTTTACCATGACTTATGTGCAGTTTTCGCATCCAGGGGTAGATCTGGGGCTGTGAAGGCTGGGCTGTGCTTTGGTCGGTCGGGGCACTTGCCTGCTCGCTGCTTGCTGGAGTGTCTTCCTCAGTCCCAGACGAGGTGCCAACCCCGTCTCTGCTGATGTGCGTGTTGCTGCTGGAATTGGACGAAGTGCTGGTGGAGTTGGCGAGGGAGTTTTTCACCCCGTGGTGACTCTCGCTGACAGGCGAACCGGCCACGGCGGTGCAGGGCAGAGGGTCAGGGGGAGGCGAGTGGGAAGACGTCGCGGGCTGGTTGTACCTGGGCTCTGTCGAGGCAGAGGTGGTGTTGGCCGGGTAACTGCGGGGTCTCTCATTGGCACCAAAGTGGGTGGAAGCAGAGCGCCCGACGCTGAGGTCCATGCCATTGTAGCCGTATCCGTACCTGCCGGAGTGCATGCTGGCGGAGTCCCTGTATTGCTCGCTCACCGAGCTGTGATCTCCATAATTATGTAACTGGTAGTCCGGGCCATTTGGATAGCGACCGCAAAATGAGTTTACAAAATAAGAGCTCATTTGTTTTTTGATATGTGTGCTTGATTTGTGGCTCTTGGTCGTTTTGTGCGTCTATAGCACCCTTGCACAATTTATGATGAATTATGGAAATGACTGGGACATGTACTTGGTTCCCTCCTACGTAGGCACCCAAATATGGGGTACGGCTTCACATCACGTGCTTTTGTTGTCCAGTCGTAAATCCTGCCTGATGACCTCTAGAGGTAAACTCGTGCACTGGTGGGGGAGCTGGGAG